TAACAAACCATACATCAATGGAAAGCTATTTATTCAGCTTTCAGATGATGCATACATCTCAATTTTAAAAAAAATGTAACCCTTATGACTGGTTTTGTGCTCCAGGGTCACATATATTAATAGAACCAATCGTTTTATATATTACAAGATTTATATTAGAAGAAAAAAGGAGAGCTAAATCTCCCTCAGCGAACGGTCTCTCTCCGTCTCTCTCTCTCTCTCTCTCTCAACTCACATTATCTGAAAACTGACAGCTCGAGCACACGACAAACCGTTACCGAGCAAAACAAATCTGTCTGAGCGCCGATTCATCGCCTGTCTGATCCCAACATGTTTTACTGTGATTAGACATCATAAAATTTATTTATATTTTAAATATTATCCATATGTGTATATATATATATATATATATATTTGAACGTGCATGAAGGGTCTATTAAGCATTATATCTCATATGTTGAGTATTTCTGGCTCCTCTGTCTTGATCTCTGGGTTTCTGCTTCCATCTAGTGGCTGCAGCGGGAAACTCAGTCTGAAGACAGACTATTTATGAGATTACAAAGCTAATATATTATCCAGATATGTCCGTTCATAAACACAGAACCCATGAAGACCAATACCTCGGCCAGAATCATTCACGACTGCACAAGAATTTTACTACAAATCAATACAGATTTCATCAATAATCACCAGAACATCAAACACTTCAATTAATACACATCATATTCATATCCAACTTTACCCGTACACATAAACATAAAGCCATAAATACGAACAATAAATCTCCAGATGTAAACCATCATATCGCCCAGCTCTAATAGTAAGATCTTATAAAGAATAATATTATGGATTTCTGTAAAGCTGCTTTGAAATAATGTGTAACGAGAAATAAAACTTGACTTGAATTGAACAAAACATATTAAATATTTAAAAAAAACTAGATTCAAACACATGCGACTCAATTTATGCTTCTTAAAAACCCTAATATTTAAGTTATTATATTAAATTAATATTACATATAAGGAGTTCTGCTCTTAGTTTCATTTTTATCTTGTAAAATAAACATTATTGGCTTTATATATAAATAAATGTGTAATATAAATAATATATAAATATGGTGTTTTAAACATTAACGTTATTTCTGTAAAACAACGTGTAACATGAAATAAACCTGTTAGGAATTAAACAAAGTTCCAGCTTAAATGACTGAAATGAGTTGTGCAGACATATATTCTTCATCTGAATCATACATACTATTATTAATCATGTAAAACAATGAGTAGAAACTTTTAACTGATATTTTATACCTATAATAAATCAGTCATTAGAAACACAAGAGAATCAGGAGACATGTGGCGCCCCCTAGCGGTCCTGCAGTGAATCTACAGGCAGAAACTACAGAAACACTCCTGAAACCAGTGACTTACTGTGAACTGCTCCTGGGATTGGTAGTTCTTGTCGAGGTAGACACGAGCACGGCTGAAGTCCTTCAAAGCATCACTGGACAGTAGCTCTCTGACAAAACAACACCACAAAACACATGCATGACTTGTTTACATGATGAAATTCTGCTGCTTGTGATGTACATCAGTGACATCTTTATAACAGTGCAGCAGATACTGACATAAAATGATCTGAATATCAGCGGTCGCTCTATATCTCCAGTAATCTGTCTCAGTGAGATGAGAGTGAAATGCTCCAAACATATAATGCAGTGATTGAGAGCTGAAGAAATAAAGGCTCCTCAGAAGATGTGAGATGTTCTGGAGGCTTGTGAAGATCATTCCTCCGCTGAGGAACAGTGAAAGTAAAGCTTCTGGAAACAAACGCTCCTCAAAAGATCCTGAGGATCAGATTTGAGACTCTAAAACATGATTGATGGAGAATCAAGTAAAGCTGAGCTGCTTCAGTGCAGTAAGTGTTCATCTGGAGATATTACTGACGTTATTCTGACCTTTACTTGATCAAAACCAGTCAAGATTTGACACGAGATGCGTTTCTACAATTACACTAAAAGAGCTTTGACTGGATAAAACACTCTAAACGATCAATCAGACGACAGAAGACATGCAGGAGATTGAGTGTGAAACAGGTTTAACAGCCTTAGAAATGTGTGCATCAGAGTTAAATTAATATGTGGTTATATGTGGTACATGACCAAAAAACCACGGTAATACCGATGTACTTTCTGTCATTCATTTTGCTTCTGTGCTGGATAAACAGTGCGGTTGAGCTGCTCAGGTGTGTGAGTAAATATTGGCTCTGGCCTTTAATAATGAGACGATATTTAAAACACACACACTCTCTCACACTCTCACACTCTCTCTCACACTCACTCACACACTCACTCACACACTCTCACACTCACTCTCACACTCTCTCACACTCTCTCACACACTCACACACTCACACACTCTCACACTCTCACACTCACTCTCACACACTCACTCTCACTCACACACTCTCACACACTCTCACACACTCTCACACACTCCCCCAC